CAGCCAACATCAGTGTATTATTTGTTTATGCAATTTGTCATATTACATGGTACCTTCGATCTTTTAAATTTTAACTCTTGTAGTGGATGTAAAGAGAAACCTCATTGCAATTTTAATTTTTATTTTTTTTGGTGACTAATTGAATTGAACAACTTTTCTTAAATTACTGTTTATCTGGAGACTTGTTTGGTGAAGTCCCTCTTTAAATCTTAGCTTCTTTATGTTCTATTTCTCTTTTTAATTTTTTTTGTTCCAATTAGTTACACATAACATTACAATGCATTTTGACATTTTATACATAAATGAAGTATAACTATTTATTCTTCTGGCTGTACATGATACAGAATCATACCTATCCTGTAGTCATATATGTATATAGGGTAATAATGTCTGATTCATTCTGTGATCCTTCATACTCCTATACCTTATTCCCTCCCTTCATTCCCTTCTGCCTAACATAAAGTAGCTCTATTCTTCCCTAACTCCCTTTTTTATTCTCTGTCTAGTTTGAGAAGTTACAGATACAAATATCTTCTGCAACTCTGTACCTTGTTCCCATTTTTAATGTTCCTAATTTAGGTCGAAAATGTTATTTCAGTCAAAAGCATTTTATTTTAATAAAAGTTTGCAAATTGTTTTCCATTATTAGTAGAGTTTTGTGTTTAATAGAGTTCAACAAATCTAAGAGTCTTAAAAATATTCTTCTGTTTCACCTTCCAGAAGCCTCACTGCCTTTTTCTCATAATAGTCCTAATGTCACCTGCAATCAGTTTTCATAAATGTGTGAGGTTTTCAACATTCATTATCACCATCACTTTTTGAAAGACTCATCATTCCCTTCTGTTTGCATTGTCACCTTCACGATTAATCAAGTGTCCATCAAGTGCATCCATCTGCTTCTGAACCCTCCTACTCATTCCACTGGGATACCTCTCTCCCTGCACTAAAAGTACACTGTATCATGGAATTGATAAGTCTCCATGGTCAAAAGCTATTACTCCCTTGATTTCTTCCTCTTTCTCATGAAAGACTGAGATTTTTCTATTATTTGAATTTCTATTTAAATGTTAAAGTCAGTTTGTGATCTTCCAAAAATATTTGAGATTTCGAAAAGAATTACATTGAATTTTTAAATAAATGTTTCAGCTTCAATTAACATCTTTGCGAGTTAGTTTCTCCAATCTATGAAAATGTTAAATTTTAGTCTTTTCAATAGTATTGTAATTTTTTTTTATGTAGAGGCCATGCATATTTTTGAGGTTTTTTACATTTTTGATGGTAGTAAAATTGTGCTTTTTTTTACTGCATGTGTGTATGAATGTGTCTGTTCATGCACATGAGCTTTTATTGCTGCTACTTAGTTGCAAGTATAAACATATTTTTGGTGAAAAATTTTACAGGTAGTAACCCTGTTTCACTCACTATTTAATTTCCATAATGTATTGGTAGATACTCTGGAATTTTTCTGTATACAATCATATTGTCATCAAATATTTGTACTTTTATTTTGCACTAAGTCTTTCATTTTGTTATGTTTGCCTTTGGTTAGGACTATCAGCCCAGTATTGATTCAGTAGCAAGAAGCTGACTCATTTGTACACTGGGCATGGTTCCACTATCGTGTCATTATTGACAGACAAGAAGGTCCACTTTCCTCCTAACCTCCTTTGCCTGGGGTAGTCTTTGAAATTTACTAAAGTCATTTTATGCATCTCTTACAATGTTTATATGATTTTCTTCCTTTTTCTGTTAATTGTACTAATTAGTTGTAAGATTAAAATACAATTTGAAAATTAAACTAACCCTGCATTCCTGTTTAGAGTGTAGGATTGTATTGGTTTGATTTTTACTGATTTGGCCATTCAATGTAGAAATTAAGCAAGTAAGTTGTCTTTTAAATCATTGAATATCTCTTTTATTAGCCTCCTTCATTTAACAGCTTTAAATGAGATCTATAGATGTTTCATTAGGCTGTTGATATCAGAATTTATCATACATGACTATAATATCTTCATGCATGCTCTTTAAAAATATATTTCCCACAATTTTAATAAGGCAAATTTCAATGAATTCTTAGAGTAAGTAGATTGATTACATAAGAAAGTAATTATTTTCCTTTAAAATAGGGATTTTAGGTCAACTATACCCAGCTTCTCTCCTGATTTCCCTTATCTGTAAAATAAAACTGATAGTTCTTTGATGCTACTATCTCCATATTTGTAATTATTTAAGAACTATTTCTTTATTGATTCAAGGTCAATAAAATAAATTTTTACTGTATATTGCTTAAAAATATTGCTTCCATGCTTCAAGTGATTCATTTTGGTGATATTATTGATTATAACTTTATTCTAGCTGACATATTTGAACATTGACAAAATGAACACCTAAGCCAAGAAATAGATTTTGGATTTTGTTCAGATTAATGGTAGAAGCCAAAAAGACTGAGTCATTAGAGCATTGATATGATAATTTTTCTTTGAGGGAATTATGTCTTTTTAAAAATCAAATTTATTTTAACTGGTACATGAAGTTGTACCATATTAATGGAGTAACATTATGTTTTGAATGCATATATATTGGGTTATGTTTAGATCAGGCTAAACATATCTATCTCCTCAAATGTAACATTTATAATTTCTTTAGGGGAAATACTAGGAAATTACATTGGCTAAATTATATTGCTATGTTGTGTGCATGTACAAATATATAACAACGAGTCCCATCATTATGTACAACTATAATGCACCTGTAGAAAATACAGAAAAATGGTTTTCAAAAGGAGAAGGGAACCCTTCCAAATCCTTTCTTCTGGCTTTTTAAAATGTACAGTACATTATTGTCCTCCAAAGTCACCCTATGTGCAATAACACATCAGAGCTGCTTGCTTCTATCTAACTGAACCCTCTGGTCACTCTCCCCATCCCTGCCTACCCCTTTTCTCTCCCCAGCCTCTGGTGACCACCATTCTACTCTTAGGTTCTATGAGATGCACCTTTCTGCTTCCACATACATCATGCGGTGCTCATCTTTCTGTGCCTGGTGTGTTTCACATAACACGATGATCTCCATTTCCATTCATGTTGTTGTAAATGATAGGAATCCAGTCTTAATTACTGCCAAACAGTATTCCGTTGCATATGTAAACCACATTTTCTTTAGACATTCACCAGGTGGTCCTTTTGAAGATTTCATTTGCATTCAGCTAATCCTGATCTCAGTCATAAAGAAATGTATGCTTTTTATAACAAGAAGTCCAGGGATGGGCCAAGCTTCCGGCACAAGTCAGGGCTCTGATTTCTCAGGTCTGCAAGCCTTGGCTTCTCCCTTCTTCCTGATGTGTGCATAGCATCTGTAGACTCAGGGTGGCAAGAGAACAGCAACATTATGGAAAGACAACCCCTACAGTGGAAGGTTCATAAGACAATCAGTCAAAGGAAGAAAGTAAGCCTCCTCCTTTCTGCATTTCTTTTCAAGGTCATGGTACAATTCTTTCTAGAAAAACCACATACACTCGTCCAAAGTGTTCATTGGCAGTGGTTGAGGCACCACCATCACCATTTTAAACATTGTTTGAGCTGAATCTGTGTGCAGAAATGATTGATCACCTTCACAAAATCAGGTTTGAGTAGCTGAAGTCAAAGTGAGCAATAATGATGCAACAGCAGCTGTCAATGACTAGACCATCTGCACTCCTCTGACTACACAGCATCCATTCTTACCCTCCACTCTGTACTTACACTAAAACACAGGTCTACAACAGATGCTCTCTTTCTTTACAAAATCCCTACCTTCTCATCTTTTTAGTTCTCTAGTTTAAAGTCCACGATCTTGTGGCCATGCGTAATCTGCTCTAACATGTCTGGAAGTAGTTTTTATAGAGCATTTTCATAAGGGAAACCAGAAGAAGAATATGCACCCCAAACATCTGATATGCAATGGCATAGAAGAAATAGGATAAAGTGGAAACTGGCATTCATTAAACAGATTGGGAAGCAACATGAGGTAGGTACTGGCCCAGCACCTGCCTCAGTTCCTACCATAAAGGATGAGTGAGAAATCACTGCTTCCTTAGCCAGACACCTGCATTCTCCTTCCCTGGCTCAGGTGGATTTAGACTGGTGTGTGTGATTCAATTATTGCCAAGGACAGAGGAGGGAGACCTCCATGCTAGGAGCATATGCCCACACCTTTCCTCATTGATAACATCATACCTACTCTAAGAGACAGGACTTGTGTTGGGATGAAATATCAAAAGCTGCTGCAGACACGGGTTTTTAATGAACAGATGTCTTTTCCTTAATATTACTTTTGACTCTTCCATCATCACACTGAATATACTAATTGTAGAAAATTTAGAAAAACAGAAGTGCAAATAAAAGATTCATAGCATCAACCAATTTGGGGTTCACCTTTCTTCCTGCTTTTCTGTTCTTTCTTTCTGCCACTAGAACTAAAAGACATTTTCAAATTAAAAGGTGCATGTTGAGGGCCTGCATTATAAATGCAATTGAAAAAGTCCCAAGAGTCACCACAGAGGGAAAGTGAAGCGTACCCAGCTGTAGGAATCCGCATCATCATCATCATCATCAACAACAGGGATGAGGACTGTAGTGGGTAAAGTCACCTCTCTGAGGGGACAGTGGCCAGCACAGGATCATATACCTAGAAGGATTTTTCAATGTACAGGTAAGAGTAGAGTAATAATTTTCAGAAATAAAACTTACCAAGAATGTGCATATCCTGTGAACATCTTTTCTAAAATCTGATAGATACCAAGTTTTGCAATTTAGAAAAAAAGCCAACATTAATTTATCTATAATTTGATGAAAATAATTTTTATTGAAAAATAGTACACCAATGATTTTTATGATATATAATTGATCAAGAATTGCAATCCCCCATTTAGGGTACTTTATTAAGCCATTCTAATCATTAAAATATCTTTGTTCCATTTTATCATTCTAAAGTGATTGGCTATATATTTTTAAACAAGGCTATCAATTTTAAATGGCTATCAATTAAGAAATTCATAAAATTTCAAAAGTTATGGAAACATAATCAAATAAGAAATCTTCCTTGAAAACTGGCTTCTTGACAAACTATTCTAAAAAGCAAATATGTCCTGAGCTCTCTGCCCCGGACCTCTCTTGAAGCATATTGCAATCCATTTGGTTTATTTCAGGATAAATCAAGATAGGAAAAATAATTTGATCTGTACTTGACTCCACTTATTTAATATAATCTATTTAATTGATAATTTGCAAGATCCTGTATGTGTGTGTGTGTCCTAGTTCTTTATCAAATGAAGTTTTCCACAGCAAAGAACAGTCAAACCTGATTTCATGCCATTTCTCTTTCTCTGATATCCTCTTAAGTCTTCTTGGAAAAGATTGCTTGAGAAAGGTACTGACAAATTCACATTCCACAGAGCAATCAGGAAACTGAAAATTTTCTCTCCAATTAAATATGTGCCATTATATAAATTAACTGACAGCACACACATAGTGAAACTGATGCTGAATTTTATTAAGAATGATAATTTTAGGAGGAATTGATAAATTTTAGGCTTTCAGGTAGTTCTAAAATATAGAACATAGAAATAATAATTATTAAATAACTTTATTGACAATACAAAAGCTGAATAAGTTTGAGTGTTTCACATAATGTCTATTTTCAAGATATCTCAGTAGCTTATTAAAGTAAATCAGAATTCAAGGTATACCAATGATGCATTTTTATTGTCTAAGCAAAATGCACACATTGTATTTTAGTAATGATTTTAAAAGCTATATTTCATCTTGCATTTCTTTTCTCCAAGTTATGCTTGCTGTGACAGACTTTAATTTTGTATTCAATATTGCAGAAGAGCAGATTTTCTCTCCAAGCACCTCTCTCCATATGTATGCAGTTACAAGTCCTGAGTTGTGTGCCTAAAATTAAAGAATATGAGTCAAAGGTATATACTAAGAATATTTTATAAAAAATTCGTATTGCTAAGGGTAACAAGAACAATGTGTTCCATCTTGAAAATGCAAGTTTTATAAAGAAAGAAAAACAATTTTAAAAAGATGGATAGGAACATACTTAAAAGTAAATTGTAGACAAAAATAAGATAGTATATTTTGATCAAGTCTTTCATTATCTATCTATCTACCTGTCACCCATCATTTTTCATCTATTATCTTTTTCTACTGTAGGAACATTATTAGAGAGCAATACTTTAATTCTTTGCAGAGGTGGCATGTCCTGTGGTACTATTGCCGTGTTAGTTGGCCCTGGCTCTGTGGTTGTGTAGGAAGATTTACACTAGCTCCATACATTAGCTATTTGTGGATCAGCCTGACCTTCTCTCTCACTCCCTTGCAATCTACTCTGTTTATCAATATAGAATCTTTTTGAAAAGTAAAACAAAAACACACACAGGAAGAGACTTTCTTGTATAAGAGCTCTGTTTTTCCTTGGAGAACAGTGTCATTTGAAAAATAACTAGGCAGAAATAAAATAAAATAATATCTACTCACTAAGGCAATTGTCATGACCTCATATTTATTCAGATAATATATTATTTACTCCGATAATACTTTTATCAGTAGTTTGACTGTCTTTCTACCTTCTTGGGAGTCATCCCAACTTGATTTAAGTTCTAAAGCTGTAACAACTATCACAGTATTCCCATTTTAAGAGTTAAGACAAGTTCCCAGATTGGATGTAAGGAGTCTGGTAGGGTCTCCACGGTAGCCATCTGAATTTCACAAGAAATGTCCCATTCATATTGGAAAATAAAATTGTCTCATGGGACAAAGAGACATGGTACAAACACAGTAGGCAGTATGCTCAGTGTGAGATGCAGGGCTTCACTCTCACACTTTCATATTTGTTCCAACAGATGAGAATGATCATCAGGAGAGACAACAATCACCTGTGACTTAAACTCCGTTTCTTGTGTCCCTTCACTAATTACGGACCAGTGACGAGGTTCAAGGCTCAGCATGTCTCTACTGAGAAGTCCTAATGATATGAAGGACAGTTATCATCAGCCAGACCTTGGAATCCAAGGCTGGGATAGCAGGGTACTGGGAACAAAATATAAAAATCCACAAGGCTTTTCATAGGAGAGAATATTTCTGTGACTTGAAATTTGATGATTGATGCTTACTTAAGAAATAAGAAACTAATAATAAAATACAAATCAACTCCTGGAAGGTCTTCTTGAAGCTTCAGAAAGAAAACAATGGCTCACAATGAATCATAGAGAAATCCTGAATTTGAGTTTTGTAGCTCCCTCCAGACCCACTCTCAGGTAGGCTAATGAGCTGTTTCCTCAGAAACATGACATTCCATACTAATTTTCTTTATTTTTTTCCAGATGCCTTCTAGGAAAGAGTTTCAATTTTGTTCATTCCAAAATACTCATTATTTTTTAATGTGTATTTCAACAGCAATCATCATTATACCTGATATTTCTAATGTATTTTACATCTGTATCAGTTAAATATTGCTATAAAATAAATTAATGCAAAACACAGTGACTTAAAATAATGATAAATTTCTTGGTTTCAATTTTTGGGATAAGCAACTGGACCTCAGATCAGCTGGGTCACGTTCTGGATGCTGGCACCTGAAGTCACTTGCTCCCCAGCAGCGCTTGGTGTCTCTTCTAGTACTGCACAGTTTGAGGTTATCTCACTGAGATGCTCCACAGGGGGATTCCGCTGACATGACTCACCCATGCCCGGGGGGTCATCATCTTCCAACAGGCTATGCCAGAGTCCTCAAATAGCAATGGAAATCTTCATCCCTCATTGGTAAGCCTTGGCCAAGTCTGTACCTGCATTATGTTTGTTAATCTCCCTTGGGCCAAAGTGAGCCCCAGGGCTGAGCACAGATTTAGGTGGTGAGGTGTAACTCCAAGACATTAGGAAGAGCCTCAAGGTCATATTTTAAAGGATCATTTAGACATGGAGGAAAGAATTGTTGTGACCATGTTTGAGAAGGTTTTACTGCACATTGTAAGTTCTTCAGGTTTCTGATAAATTCCCAGTGTGGTGAGTGGTTTGTATTGAGTTTGTGTGAGTATTATGCATGGTGTTCCTGTCAGCCTATTTGCACAACTGTTAAATAGTTTGTCAGTCTCTTGGGATTGGCAGCTGTCTTGGATGTGATCCTTATATAAAAAACAACAACAACAACAAAAAACCGCACAAACCCCAAGTGTTACCTTGGTTTTTCCCAATTGCATGTCAGGGGTGAGGGTTTAGAGTGTGCCTCAAGGATGCAAAACCTCTGTTTTCTTCTTGATTTAGTCAGTCCCTGTACCCAAACACACCAGATCCTTGTCCCAAGTTCTAGGGCTTCCAACTTCCTTTGGACTTTCTCAGCCCATGAAGAACTGGATGGGGAAGAATGCAAGGCTGACAAGTACTTCCCACTATTGCAACTGCTCTGCACCACAGTCACACCGTGCTGTCCCCGGATACTGCATTCAGCTGTCACTCACCCTCATGCTTCTAGCCCAGGAGTAGCAATGGGACATGGGTAGCAAAGTATGTTTTTCAAGAATGGGTTTAAAAATACCTCAAAATCCTCATGCTCTCCTGCACTGTGACCATGTCCTTCTAATATTAAAATACAGATTCTATTTCATTCCCTTGAATCTGAGTGGGACGTACGACTGTATCAATCAGCTGAATATGACAGGAGAGATCTTGTGCCATCTTCAGGAGCGCTCGTCCACTGGCCTTGCAGCTTCTGCTCCTGTTCCTAGCAAGTCAGAGCCACTAGAAGAAGTGTGGCTAAGCCAGCACTCCCATGTAATGAGAAGCCAAGCCATCTAGAGGTCACCAGAGGAGGAGACGTCATTATGAGGAATGGGCGAGCAGCAGATGGAGCAGCGGGCAGAGAAGGGGGGCACACAATGCCAGACACTTGGGTGGGGCAGTTCTCCTGGAAGGTGGCCCTTTGCTCTGGTCCCTCCAGCTGACAGCACGTGGGGCAGAAAGAAGCCACCCTTCCATACTGGTGACTAGTTTAAGACAAATCCTTGCAGCTGTTCGTTACATAGTAGTATGTGTGCTCCTGGAACATAATGGTACCCAGAAGGGCAAAGATGTCACTGTGGTAGAAAGCTAAAACAAGTGGCATTGGTTTGGGGACTAAGCCAGAAAAGATGTCATAAGGGACCTAAAGGTGACAGTGGGAGCAGAAAAGAGAGTGCAAATGTGACCAGGATGCGAAGTGACATGTGCTGTAGAGGAAAGGAAAGGGTAATAAACTGCCATCTACAGTGATGTGGAAAAAGAAATATACTTGATAATGTAGTGAATATGACTAAAAAGCTTTAGAGCATGAATGCTCAGATATTTCTTTTAGTTGTATATGATAAGGTGCAACTAGACAGAGAATAACTAAAGATGAAACTGATCAGCTTTCAAGCAGAATATAGGGGAGAAGTGAGTATCTGGATCTAAAACTTGCCATTTTCAGAAGGCAAAATACTCTCAAGATTAAGAAACAGATTCAAACTATAAATCATATTTGGGAAATGACCAGTGAAATTGGGCTTCAAATTTGCAACTAAAAGAACGTGCATTGGGCTGGGGTTGTGGCTCAGTGGCAGAGCTCTTGTCTCGTACATGTGAGGTACTGGGTTCGATCCTTAGCACCACATTAAAAAAAAATGAATAAACAAAATAAAGATATTGCATCCGTCTATTATTAAAAAAAGATTTAAAAAGATAAAAAATAAAAGAACATGCATTAAAAATTCAGGAAAACACACACACACACACACACACACACACGAATCTTAAGGCAAACCTTGAAAGCCCTTAAAAGGAGAATAGGATAAGTGACATTCTTGTTGGCATTTTCCCACTGCTTCTAGTTTTATTCCAAGACAGAAAGAGAACTATCTTAAATAAGTTGTGGATGTGGTTTGCTTCTAAAGACAGGAACCCAATTAGATCTATAGGAAACCCCCGAAATTTGGGGGAAAGCTGTATTGGAAGAAGCATCAAAGCAGAATATGGTGGCATTTTTACAAAGCTGTCTTTCAGAAATTCTGTGCTGATAGCACTTAGCCTTCTCCATATAAACAAATGTTCATTTATGGCTTGAGCCTTCCCCAGTACATACTCTCTTCTGCTGCCAGAGTCTCTCTATATAAAGCTCATATCTATAGATATACCTACAGCTATAGCACTACCTATACTCCTTTCAATATCCATGTCTAAATCATATTTACATTTATTTATTATCAAGCTAGTTTTTTAAGTGTTAATTCAATAATGCTGATAGATACATAAGGCTAGAGAACTTGGTATACCTCATGGGCAAGATCAATAATGAATAATAATACTAATGCATTTCTACTTTCTATTTACCAAGAGATATCTGGTACCTCGCTGTTTTTCACAATGTGCTTGTCATTTTCTTTTGTTGTTCTTTGAATTGCTGCTTTTGCATTAACTCTGATGGACAGAGTTACAGCCAGCAATGACTCTGGAGGTTTATACACTTTGGAATAAAATCTTCAAACTGGACAGCAACTTTTTTTTCCACCAGTAAGTCAGAAGGTCTGGGTTTCTACTAGCTGTGTTACAAATTAAGTGCACTTGTTTTGGCATCAGCTCCTTCATTTTTAAAATTATAAGATTGAAGATTACTAATGAAATGCATATGGAGGACAGGCAAATAAGCCCTACCACATTTTAACTATGTTCTATGTCCTAAATGGTGAAAATTAGCATCATACAATGTTAATAGAGACGTAAGACCACATCTTCATACAAATGAAAGGGCAAAATGGCAGTGGTATGGATATTTCTGCCTTGGCAGCAGGGAAAAGGTGAGAATGGAGGATATACTGAAGTGAACTAACCATTGTTTGTTCTGTTTAAATCAGCTGCTGGCATTCAGTACCTTTGGTTAACGGTAGGCCAATCAAGAATTCTGAGGGAAGCAGAGATTAGGAAGAATTGAACTCAATAAAAGACATTACTCAAAAGTATCTTCTCGTATTCTTTGGCTCAAAAGAACTCTGTTGTACTTTCCCGTTGTAAATTAAAATAATTTTAACATATTCATTTCTGATCTTCATTCAGATATGAACCCAGTTCTCGTATCCTGACCTCTGTTCTTGGGCTTTTTCATATCTCCATTTTATTATCTACAAGAAGAAAACAAAAATATTCTTTAAAATAAAGTATTTGAATTTGTATCCCATGCATGTATAAATTATTCTCCCTTTAATTGCTGTCACTTTCATTGACAGAGACCTAGGCTGCTTGGAGGACTGTGTTGAGACAGCCTTCAGAGGCTCTTGGAAGGTACGGTTTTTCTGTCCTGTCCAACAACACATTATTTCATTTCATCCCGTTAGAAGGCATCATTTTAGATGGAATGCAATTGTGACAGCAGTCATGAGTTGTAGATAGCCTAGGAATAACTATAATAAATCCTTCCAGGTCCCAGAGAAGTGTATTGATAAAAGAGCTGTGAATGTCAATTAGAAAATTGTTTTAAAGACTATTATTTCAATGGATAATTTACTTAAAACATAAGGATACTTTCCCTTGTTTTTTGAAATTATCATAATCCTAGCTGCTTGGCAAAACTTCCATTACATTACCACTTTTTAAAATTGCATTATTTTGTAGCTTGGGCTACCTTAAAATTAGGAAGAGGGCTAAACAGAGCTATTTCATATATTTCATATTTCTTTCCTTCTTTCTCTCCTTTTTGTGTTTCTTTCGTAAAAGTTGATGAAAATATTTTAGGACATTTCCTTATGTCATATCAATTATAAGGGAATGGACATTCAAAGAAAGAATAATGGCTTTGTTATTACCTTTTAAAAAGCATTATTTTCATTCATCACTTACTTTCATACAACGAAACATATTTCTTTCTGTCTTCCAAATGATTTCTTGATTCAGAGGTGAGTCATGTCCCACTGTAACTTCCAGAGTTCTTGTCAACAAGAATATCTTGGCTTTTATTATTCTCCTTATCCACATAACAACAAATCAAAGCAGCATTAAATGTCCCAAGTAGTGATAGTTGGTAAATTTATGGGATATTATTAATTCATATTATTAAGAGTAAAAAAAATATACCCAATCCATAAGTTATAGTCACATATTGAGTTAGCAACCTTAAGTAATATTTAGTCTGTATTCATTAATGGCTATTTTGGCACAGAATGTGTAGATTTACTTTGTAGTTTAACTTACGTTTTCTAAGTATGGTTAAATCTGTTTGTCACCTAGGATGGAAACTTGTTTTCTCCATAAAGTGGTAGTGAATGGATATTGTGATTTGATACTGTACCTAAACAGAGATTTTATACTTTAAACCTTAGGATATGTCCTCATAATTCTTTCTGTGGTTTATTCTGATTTATAAATTGCAAATTGTTAATCTTGTTATTACGAAAATATTTTGATGCCATTTTATAAGCCTGTCAAAAATCAATCAAAATGAAAATATTTCCAAAATCTAAGCATAGGTAGTAGATAGTAGAATTATTTTCTCTCCCTGTGTCTCCCCAAATTGAGGCAAAAATTCATTGTCTTGGGAGCACAGTGTCACATGTGAAACAACCTGGGTAACAACTCTGTATCAGAAGCTGCCAGTTAATATTGGAAGATCAAGGATGTACCGTGAAAGTTCTTTTCCACAAAGGGATGATATTCTTGTGCTTTTAATTCTCTATGTAAGTACTTCTAAAAAAAAACAAATTTTATATTTCTCTAGTAGTGATCATAAAATATTATCTTTGGTTTAATTGTAAGATTTCACAGATTTTGACACGTCTTCTATTTTGTGAAGGCTTCTCATCTGTCAGGATACACCTACAGATGGTTGAAAAGAAATTGTTTATCAATATTCCTGAAAACCAGCTTCATCTTTAAGTATTGCACATAAGTTTCAAGAACACTACACTATTTGGCAGAAAATTATTTAGAAATACATTTTTGAAAACCTAATATTATGGCTTGTATGTTGATGAGTTAATAAAACAGGAAAAAAAAAACAAACCTCTACACTGCATAACTGTGAAAAGAAATGAAAATGTTATTTAGAAATAAAAAATATTAGCATAATGTGGTTGTGTACGAAGCACTATTTCATTTCACTGTTTTGTAACATCTTCTCTTTTAGCAAAAGAAAGGCGATAGCAAAGATGTAGCAGTGCTGCAGGAAGGCATCCAGTCTGCAGGAGCTTCTATGTCTCCTACAGAGAGTTGCAATCCCAGAGTCAAGAAGTCATGCATTTGAACTGAAGGAGAGAGTGTCTCCACCAGTCCACCCAGGGTTTTAGAAATCTGTCTTACCTGTCATTTTTAAAATTATGCTCTTGTTTTTATTTTTATTTTTAATGTTTTTATTAATTCATTATAGTTACACATAATTTTGGGGTTCATTTTGACATAATTATACACGCATGGAATATAATTTGCTCCAACTCAGTTCCCAGTATCTCCCCCCTCCTTCACCTCCTTCACCTCTTCTCTCCCCTATTCCCTTCTACTCTACTAGTCTTCCTTATATTTATTAGTTTTTTTTAAAATAGTGCTTTGCAGATGTACATCAAGGTGAAATTCACTGTGTTATATTCATATATGTACATAGAATAATGTGGTCCTTCTCATCCCACTAATCCTTTCCTTTCCGCCCCTCCTCTCTCCCCATCAATCCCCTTCTTTTGATCCAGTAATCTCCCTTCTATTTTCATGGAATTTCTCCTTCCCCCCTTTTCCCCCTTGTTTTGGTCTAGCTTCCACATATAAAACAGTCAATCCTTGACTTTCTGGGTCTGTCTTATTTCACTTAGAATGATGTTCTCCAGTTCCATCCATTTACCAGCAAATGCCATAATTTCATTCTTCTTTATGGCTGAGTAAAACTTCACCATGTAGCCAATTGTTTTCTCTGATAATCAGATGCCGACCACAGTGGGGTGAGGGGATAGGGAAGAATGAAGGTACTTTGGTTTGTGCAGAGGGGAGTGAGGGGAGGAGTTGGGCTGAGGGGATGGGAAGGACAGTAGAATGGGACAGACATTATTACCCTACATAGATGTGTGATTACACTACTGGAGTGACTCTGCACCATGTACAGCCAGAGGAATGAGAAGCTGCGCTCCATTTGTGTACACTAAGTCAAAATGCATTTTACTGTAAAATAAATAAATAAGTTTTTAAAAAATTGCCTATGAGAAGAATGCCTTAGATGAATGGATCAAGAAAATGTGGTTATCTATACAGGATGAAGTTTTACTCAGCCTGTCATTGTTTTGAAGTTGCAAGCCAGGAGGAAACCAATGACCCTTAATTGGGGCCAAGAAGCTTGAATTCTGCATTATCTTTCATGGTAGTCACTATTTTAATTCTAACTTTGGGGAACCAAAGGAGGTGCCATCCTTTCCTTGGAGACATTTTCCCACATTGTTTTCTCTTAGAAAGAAAAATCTTTTGGGGCCTATTAGAGAGGTAGGATTACTCAGCAAGAGGAGATTCTTGAACTCAAGAATGAGAAGGCCGTTTGCCAAGCAAGTAGCAGGTAGCAGAGGGTTAAAAGGATTTGTGCATGTGTGATGAAGAAAAGGGAAAGGAATCATCAAGGAAAAAGGTACACCTGCAGCCTGGGAGGACCAGGGGAGAAGGGCAAAACCCTCTGCGTGTGCTATGGCTCAGCTCCTGGTGATGGAGTCCCTTAGTGAACCTCCTTGCTGAATGGGGTCCAGGAGGTCTACACTCAGGCCTTCAACATGGAGGCCAAAGAGGCAGTGAAACTCCTCAGACCCAGGCACAGCACAGGTAGGAGAGTACTGGGCACTCAGGACCAGAGAGACTACTATATGAGAATTTGACTTCAAACAGAGGCATGGTCAAGGTTTACAGTCCTTTCCTGGATTTCCATCCTGAGTTACAGGATTCCCCTTGTGCTGCAAGGACCACCTCTCCAGCAAAATTTGTTATGGCCCCTTCCAGTGTTGGGTTACAGCATCTATGTCTTGAGAAACTGATCTAGGCAAAGAGGAAGGAAGGGGTGGGGGATTCAGCCTAAAACCAAGTGTTCATTCCTCAACTGTGATTGAAAAATGCAGTAAATTTCCTTAAAATCCTTTAAAATGTTGCCACGGTTCCTTTGAAGAGTTTAATCATTTTCGAAGGAAGGCATATTTTGGATACGAAAAATAACGACCTTCCATTCCTAAGAAAGATTCAAGATTCAGCTATCATCTCGCGTCTCTGGCAATTTTACAAGAGCCCCACCCCTCTCCTCCAGAGGTGACCCGGATCCAAGCGACACTGCCCAGGCATTCTGTGTCAGTTATTCATCCCTCTTCAGCTGTCCTGGACAGACTGACGGGTTTTGCTTCCACCGGGTGTGTGTGTGTGTGTGTGTGTGGGGGGGGGGTTCTCCCTCAACTCCGCTCCCACGGTGGCTCCCCACTCCCCTCCCCCCGCGCTGGCTCGGGAATCTCACTGGTCACTGGACTCCAGCGGGACCGCAGCTTGTTTTCCCCTCCATCCTTTTACAAGTGCATACATGGGCAGATACTCACCCGCTTTCCATCCATCCTCTTGCCCCTTTCCCTTTTCTTGAGCTTGTAGCTCCCCTCCCAGGCCTCGGGTTCAGGTGGAGTTGGCACTCTAAGGGCGCGCACAGTCTCCCCCGCTCATCATCGTCAGCATCAGCAGCATCACCGTTATCTCTCCCTTCCTCCGCCCCCTCCTTGACTCCCGCTCTCAAGCTCTCTAGCTCGCTGTCTTTCTCCGTTCCCTCCCTTCCACATCTGCCAGCCTTTCCTTAAACGGATGGACACCCGCTCCACTTGCTCACTTTACCCCACCATTAAGGAGTTGCAGCTTCCTGGAGATCGAGGAACCAACAGCTTGGTAGCTGGAGTCTTGAAGGTTGCGTTCGGATCTCAGGAATCCCCTCTGGATTTGGGGGTCATCTCATTATCCCTCATCCCAACGTATTGGCAGGAGACCTCCACCTTCTCTCAGCGCTGTGATGGGGAAAATGTGGGCAGGACCGCGGCGAGCACCCACACCCCGCCTGTACCCACGCACCCACGTGGGCGTCCCAGGGCCGCAGCAGCAGGTGCAGGGAAGTGAAGGCCAGGAGCCAGGCAACAGCGCCCCAGCCTCAAGCGCTCTCCAGTTCCTCTTAAGACCCCCCCCCCCTTTTTTTTCTCTCCTTAGCTTTTAGGGCGACCCCTGTCTTCGCAGCACAGAGTCGGTGGGCTACCGGCCCCCTTTATCTTTCCCCACCCCCAGCTGCTCATCGCCATCATCCCAGACCCTAGCGCAGTTGGGCTGTGAAATCCGAGGCTCAGGGTCCGGGGATGAGCACCCTGGAGGTCCGGACCGCAAGGGCAGTAGCAGAGCTTGGACTGCCTCTGTGTGCTTGAGGTCCGGCTTGGGTAGAGTCCGCAGAGGCCGGGAGGGCGGGACGCATCTGGGAAGGGGAGGAGGTGCTGCTGCAGCGTCCAGGGAGGGACTCCCCACACTCGCGGCGCTGCCTCGTGTTTACTGTTATTTGGTATTCATTTATTCTCTTTTTACAAGCTGGGGCTCTTCCGGTGCTGTTTCTTCAGCAACTCCTTTCAGAGTTTAACGCACCAGGAGCGCTGATGTTCTTGTGTGTTGGGGTTGGGTGGGGTGATCCATGTTTATCTTGGGATGGTTTTAAATATTTTGAGTAGGGGAAAGATAAAAGGCAAGAGCTTGCCTCTTTGTAGGGGCAACTTGACTGGCGCAGCCTTGGTATCTGGCCCAGTGACTTACGGGGAAACTTTCACAGCTTTCCCATTCCTCCGGAGCCCAAGTCTCATCTCCCAGACCAACCGGTGTAGACGGTGAAGTCTTCACCCACTGTAGAGGTGAGAAGGTCCTACTCCCCTTAGACGGAATCCAAGGGGTGGGAGAAAAACGCACCACAATTTCTAACCCTTAAAAAGTGGAAAACCAAGCCCCAAAGGTGATTTTCACTTGATGGCCCCTCCCCCTTCCACGCCATGTATCCATCACCCAGATACAGCTGGGGATTTGCCCGCGCCTTTCTCGCCCCTTCTAGCCAGACTAGAAGAGTGACTGATCCCAGTCTGGGCTTCACCCCCTCCCTCCTCCCTCCCCCACCCCCCTCACCCCCCCATCCAAAGAGCTGTGATGTCCTTGCTGTTGCCGCCGCCGCCGCCTCATTCCGCCGCGCACCAGCCCTGGGGGCGCCGGCTGCGCGGAGCTGCCCAATTTCACCCCTGTCTCGGGCTTCCTGGAGGGTCCTGTAGCTCAGGGCAATGACTAAGGCGCCCACTTGGTAACTCTGCCATCTTCCTGCTCCTTTCTCTTCCCTCCCTTCCCCGCCCCCTGTAGCTACCCCCGTTCCCCTCCACCACCCTCGAGCCCTCCTCCCAGACGCCCACCCACCCGCTCCTCTTTCCGCAAGATCGCAGAGGTGGCGCGGAGCCCGGCAAGCCGATGACGGACCCCTTCCTCCAGTCTTCAATGCCTCAGCGGAAGATCCCCCAGGGCTGGAGAGAGGATTGCTGCTGGACATCCTCCCTGGGAGGCTGCTCCGACCTGCTGCTCGTGGTGTATGAGACTGGGGACTGAGCGAGCCCCAGTCGCCGCCGCCGCCCTCTCCGTCGCTGCCGTCGGTCGGGACCGGCCCCCGCCTCGCTCCGCCCGCCGCCCGGCCCCGGCCCGGCCCCGGCTCCGGGCGCCCCGGGGCTCGCCCCGCGCCCGCCGCCGCCCGCGCGCCGACTGCCCGCCGCGTCCTTCTGACAGTTGCGGCGGTGGCGATGATGCAAAGGAGGAGGGTGCTGCCGGCGGCGGTGCTGATGGTGGCGATCCGCGCCCGGGTGTGATGCGAGCGTCATGGTGGGGATGCTGGCTTCGCGGCGGTGAGAGCGAGCGAGAGCGAGAGCGAGCCCGGGGCGGAAGACGGACTGTTGGGATCTGGCTGCTGTGTGGGCTCCATCTCTTTCTCGCCTCTCTCGCGCGCTTTCCCCCCTGTATTTTGTTATTGGCTTGCATATTTAACATCTCTGGACTCCATCCTCTCCCCCACCACTGAAGTCTTCCCGTCTCTAAATGGAATTAGTGGAGATCGGAGCCTCTGGTGTAAGGAACAGACATGATCTATGGACGCAGTTTGTTTTACAGTGAGTACCTTTCCCGCCGCTCGGCCGGCTCCCCGGTGCCATTCCTCCCCTCCCCTCCTCCCCGCCAAACGCGCAGGGGAAAAGCCCAGCCGATGCGCTCCAGCTGGACCCCGCAGTCCAGTGAGTCTCGGGGCAGATGTAAACTTTCTGTATTGCAGCATCATAGAGCCGGGAGCGGGGGCGGCGCACAGTCAGGCCAGGAAAGACAGGCTCTCCGAGGGCAGGAACCTCCGGGGTCCAGAACAGTGTGCAGTTCAGAGAAGGGCACGTGCGGAGCGGCCGCAGCCCCAGAGAGGGCGCAGGTGGAAATAGCCAGGGAGCAGGGTTTATACTTGATGGGACCAGAAGAAATACTCCTCTGCCTGGGGCTTCCGCAGCCCAGACTCCCAGTCCCATGGGCAATCTAAGGCGCTGGAACCCAGGGCTTGGGGCGAATGCCAACTTCCACTCTCTTCTGTCCAGTAGACCTAACGCTGCTTTAGAGTGTGGTGAAGCATGCAGTGTGGGTGGGAGGAAGTGGAGGAAAACGGCATCAAAAGTCGTTAGGCAAGAGGCAAGGTAAAATGTGTGGTGGCAATTTCACATTGTAAAGCAGGGATATTAGAGTGTTAATCCTGTGCCACGCAGTGAAGACTAGCTTTTCCCTTTCAAACATAGTATGCGTTCAATAGTGTGATTCCATGAAAACACCGAAAGCAGAGTAAGGAAAATACCAGATGTGCACCCTGAAATTGTGGATAGTTGCCTCTGTGGTGTGTGTGTGTGTGTGTGTGTGTGTGTGTGTGTATGCAGAATCATGGCGAACTAAGGTGATTTTTGCTACTTAAATACACAAAACAATGAACACGACAAAAGCAACCACCAATGTTTTTATACAGAGTAAAGATGATCTTCTTAGAACATAAAGTAATACAGTTGACACCTTCTCGAATATTATATCAGGGCCCAGATGATTTTCTTGGATTAATATTCAGGCATAAATTCCTAAGCTCCTGTACTGAATTTTATTTTAGGATATTATTATGAATTATACTCTTCCTCCCTAAATTCATTTTAAGTGGAAATATGAGCATGTAGACCTTTTATGTAATTCAGCATCAATATAAATAAAAAGAAACTAGTAAAGAAAAATTAGAAGTTGTGACTACTAGATGACTTTAATATCTTGTAAGTTTTAGTTTTTTTTTTTTTTTAAACGTTGAGCAAATCAAGAGTATAGAAGTAAAACAGAAGTTTAGGTTAAAATACTGTTGCAGATTTACAGTTAAATTACAGACCAGTGTCTCTGATCCAGAACAAATGACTCAATAAAACACATAGATAATAAATTTCATAGCCCAAAAAAGTGCTTGGGACAGGGTTACTTGGTGATTCTGTACATTTTTGTGAGACCTTTTTATAATACTGCTTAATACCTCCAATCCACACTCATCTGTTTGGCTTGATCTTCCTCCCCCTTGCCCCATTGGATTAAGGAAGTGTTTATGTTCTAGAATGCAGCCACATTGGCAGTGTGTTAGGATCAATCATGGAACTCTTCCTCTTGTTTGTCTCTTTTCTCCTTTTACATGCTGTCCCTGTCTCTTCCCTTAGACATGCTAGCAAAACCCTTCAAATAGGGTAGTTTAATAACAGCCTACATCTTGAAATCTCACTGTAACTTGTGTAACAATAGTGGAATATAATGTTACCTCTTAATATTGAACTATGCTTTGGCCTTAGGAGCTTGGGTCTCATCCATTCTAAGTATGCATTACTTCCTTTAGGTATTCCCAAGTTTTTCCTCTGCACATTCTAAATTGGTTTTTGCAAGTTCTGAATCAACTGGTAACAGTTAATAATATAAAACTACTCTACTTTGGTATCCTTTTATCTTTAAATGTTGTTCTATGCTCTTATGAGATTTGGTCATTTCAGAGTATATGATCTCTTTCTATTTTCTCTTTCTGTTGCAGTTGCAGCAAGTTTAATCATCCTCCATTTGTCTGGGGCAACCAAGAAAGGAACAGGTATGTTTCCTTGAAAAAAATGCTAGTGGAAGAACTCTAATTATTTGCATTTTCCTGTATTCCCCATTCTCTTAATATTCCAGAATATCTGAACATTTTATAGTGTGTATAATTGATTGGTTTTAGCTAAGAGAGCATTTCAAAATTAATTTGCTAATGGATATTATAAGAATGTCCTCTCTATTTTTAGTATTATAAAAAACTGGATGATGGCTTTATTTATTTATTTAACAGAAAAACAAACCACCTCAGAAACACAGAAGTCAGTGCAGTGTGGAACTTGGACAAAACATGCAGAGGGAGGTGTCTTCACCTCTCCCAACTACCCCAGCAAGTACCCCCCGGACCGAGAATGCATCTATATCATAGAAGGTAAGGACAGGGCCAGAGCCAGGGAGCACAAACACAGAACCTGGCCTTCTCTGGGTTTTGGATGGGCAATATGCACATAGACATTACAAAAATTGATTTTGGAGATGGTAGAAATAAATATCTCTGAGTGAAGCAACTGCAAATCTGGAATAAGGCTAATTACTGAAGTTATTAGCAGTGGGTTATGAACAAGCAAATTCTGTGAAATAAAAAGAAGTTAACAATCTAAGAGCCTATTTTTCAGCTGATTGAGTTGGTTTAGAATTCCAAAGTAACAGAATGGATTGTAGTTGGTGTAGTGTTACCTAATGTGTAATATTTTGAAAAACTAGTATTTTTTTTAAATTAACAGTTATTAGAATGACCTATACATTCACTATTTTCTTATTTGAGGCATGAAACAACACAAATATATTGAAGTCAAAGATGTATTTATACTCATGTTTTATAAACACTAATCTGAATGGCAATTACCTTATTTTGTGCTACCAATTCACATTACATTTTTAAGTGAAAGTCAGAGTCTTAATTTATGAAGATTTCTTTCACTAGCTTGGAGGATAAATAGTACTAAAAAAAGAGACTCACCTCTCTTTGAACTTATCCCATTTCTGCTAACCTTGAGACATTTCTGTGTTAAATATAACTTTTAAAAATATATGAATATTTTATCCAGTGATAAAGTTCATCAATACTTTAAATATCAGTGCCAAAACAGGTAAGACTTATGATACCCCTGCACACACATAGACATGCACAGAGGAAGCTAATTTAGTGAAAAAGGCATATGTGCTTAGCATCCAGGTTTAAACTAGGGAGATGCTCATTTGATTGATGTTTAAAAAGAAAAAGGCTCCTGCTTAACTTACTTTAGAATCTTTATTTGGATATTATTCTTGCACTTAGGGATGTAGCTCAGTAGTAGTACACCTGTCTAGCCTTCATGAGGCCCTGGGTTCAATCTTCCTTAGCATTGGGAAGGAAAAAAAAAGATAGAAGAAGTAGAATGATTATTTTTTTATTGTAATTTTGAGTTTAGAATATTTTTCTTCCCCTTTCCATGCTTAAAGTCGAACTTTTACCAAGTAAATGGCATCTTACACAAAGGAAAAACAATAAACTCTGATATTAAAGGAATAAAACAAAAAATCAGAGATCTGGCAGTTTTGATTGATAGAAAAGTAAATTGAATTATGGAGGTTCTGGCCTGGAAATAGTTGTTCTTTTTGTCAAATTACTACCACATATCTGTGAACTACCTATGCTACAAATAACATAGATTACAAATTTTGAAGAACTCATCAATACATACATTATAAGAAATATTTTTCTTGTCCTCATTTTACTAATTAGGAAACTAAAGCAGAGAGAGGTTAAATATCCTATGTAATTCACAGAATGATAATTATTTTTGAAACAACATTGTTTTAAAATAATAAATTATTAAAAAAATAAAATCACCTTATAATCTCTTATCTCAAAAATTAATTCAGAAACAAATCTTTGCATGTTAATTAATTGCATTTTCATGTTTATTATTGTTTAAAAATAAAAAGCATTGCTAACCTTGATCTTAATACTATGTACAAATTCTCATTCACTTGTAGTTATGTCAAGAACAAAGCTTAGTGAAGAAATGGATAGAACCTATTTAACTATTAATATTGCTTCTATCCCAGTAACTCAAGAGGTTGAGGCAAGAGGACTACAAGTTAAAGGCTGCAAGGCCAGCCTGGGTCACAAGGCCAGCCTGGTTTCTTAATGAGACCCTGCCTCAAAATTAAAAAAAATAATAATAAAAAAATAAAAATAAATTCAAGATGTAGAGAATTTGCCATGTTCAGGACCCTGAGTTAAACTCCTCTAGTACCTAAACTCTTTCTGAAACATGTTGCATGTTATTTAAATAACACTGAACAGCTGCTCTTCTAGGTAGAGTATAGAGAGCATTGAAGAATGTGATGCTATTTGCAATAAGATGCTTGCAGTGTGACCCAAGCACTATACTCCTTTTACTTAGCAATCTAATAGGGCTAAGAGATTGGTACAAGATGGTTGGAAGAGGAAGATGAAAGAAAAGCCTGTCAGGAAGAATGCCAAAAACTTTCACTTTTAAAGAATATTCAGGAGGTAATCATTCTCTACAACATATGCCAATATTCAGAGGTGTGGCAGGTTGGGAGCTCCTAGTGTTCCTGTGAGGGGCAGAGACAAAAGAGACCAGAAGAACCTGAATTCCATCTGTCACACTATGGAAGTTGGACTTTGAGTTGAGACAATGGGTACCATGGAATAATTTATGTAGAAAAGTGATGAACTGAGATTTTGAAGAAGGAGAAACTAAGAAACTGCTGTAAAGGACCGAGCAAATCCTAATGAAAACTTGGAACTAAAGAAAGGAACTGGTGATGGAAGAAAGAGAAATATTTAGGAAACAGAATCATGAATGGGTATGGGGTGTGAGAATAGAGACTCCCAGGACCATTCCAAGACACTTTGCTTGGTGATTTATTAGGTACAGTGTCATGCCAGACAAGAAATGTAGGTGGAAAAGAGAAAAAATAATGTGCTCCATTTTGGCGTTTGTGGAGATGCCTTAAGAAGAGATTGGATATATGTATCTTGAGCTCAGTGGAAAGATCTCTGCTGGCAATGCCTATTTATAGGACACAAGCAAAAAGATTGTTACTGAACTTAGCAATGTGAATAAAATCACCCAAAATATTTGAAGCTTTATGTTTCGACTCCTATAAAATCTGACAATGGCAGGGCCCCTGCCTGTGAATCCTGATTTGGTTGGTCTTAAGTGGAGCCCAAGGGTCCTCTGTGGAACACCAGTGGCATCCAGGGTGCTGGCCTGAAATTAGAGGAGATGTGGGGTAATCTTCTGGACATAACAGGTAGGGGACAGGCAGGCAGAGAGTAACCTGGGGGTGGCAAGAGTATCAGGTGAAGGACATCACAGGGTTGGCGAAGGTGGAGTTTCAAGCAACAAGGAGTTAGTTGCCAGGGAGCCATTTGATACAGCAAGGGACATAAGGTAAAGGCGGAAGTGTATCCTGCAGGAATCAATTGAGAGTGGCCACGGATTTAGGATGTGCTCTCCTTTTGACACCAAGGGTGGGAGACAGTGCATGCAAGAGTAAGGGACCATGTATCTGTGGACAGTGGGATCCCAAAAGTGGAAGACAGGCAGGCACTTGCTTGCTGTCACTCACACATGCTCTCGCTCTCTCTTTCTTTCTTTCTTTTTCTTTGTCTTTTCTTCTATTAATGGGAAAAATACAGCTTCAATTCTAAAACTAATAGCCTATTCTGCAGAAGTAAAGGTATTTTTTTTTTCCTTTATGGGGCACTGGGGATTGAACCCAGGGCCTCCCACATGCTAGGCAAGTGCTCCAATCATTGAGCTCCGCCCTCAGCCTTTAGTTAATTTTCAACTTAGAGAAAGAATCTCACTGTGTTGCCCAGGCTCGCTTTGAAATTGCAGTTCTCTTGCCTCAGCCTCCCAAGTAACTGGGAATATTTAAAATACAAGAGAAAGAAGCATAAGTAAGGGGTGAAGTTTCTTGAGGTAAGATGGGTTGTGATAAAGAGTACAGGGGACGTCTCAGACACAGAAAGTACATGAGCTCAGGAGTTCAGGTGGTCTTAAACTAGAGGAAATGAACTGTACGTATGTGCACTGTTCCAAAGGAAGTGTCCATGGTGCACAGCATGTTCAGAGAGCTCCAGGAGTTTGAGTCTTCTCCAAAGCAGCCAGTTTTACATCAAAGGCAGCTTTGGGAAAATGTGGATGTGAGATGCAGCTGTGAACCGAGCATTTAGAAGGTGAAAATAAATGCATATTTAAGGAGTTGAATGTAGACAGCTGGAATTAGTTTACTTGTGCCATAATCACTCATTTTCTAAATCTGCAAGAATTCTCTGGCATACTTGGGGTGGGGGGCAAGGAGGTTCTGGAGATTGAAGCCAGGGAAATTTTACCACTAAAATACATTCTCCAGTACTTTCTCCCTCCCTCCCTCTCTCCCTCCTTCTCTTCCTTCCTTATTCCCTTCTTTTTTTTCTGTCTTTTTCAATTTTTAGGCAGAGGATTACAAAGTTACTGAGGGTCTCACTAAGTTTCCCAGACTCACCTCAAACTTGCCCTCCTCCTGTTTTAGCCTCCCAAGTTGCTAAGATTACAGGAATGTGCAACCATGCCTGGCTGGTAGACTCATTTTGTCTTAAAAGGTTATTTAATTATATCCTAAAACTCAGTCAGTGGCATTTTCATATGTGGGTATATATGTAGGTAATTTTAACATGCTGGAAAAAGAAAATCAAATTTTCCACATATAATGTACTCTAATAAAAGCCAGAGTGATGAGGCTGTTTTCTGAAGGAACATGGAGCGGTTTGCTTCTCCATGTTGGACAGAACTTAAGTGACAGTGATGATGGTGAGAATAAATAAGCTTGTGTCAAACAGCCATGTCTTTCCTAATGAGGACGGCAGATGGGTGTGTGTTGCAAGAAGACAGGCAGATAGCTCTGAGTAAGTCAGCCCTGGCTTCTCACAGCTCCACTTGCCCTAACCCTATGTTATTTACATCTAAGAAAATTATAAGGATCCTGAGTGGTTTAGAGGGGCCAAGGACACCTCTTGGATAAGGCACCAAGATAACACATACAAATGTTGGATGTGGTGCTAAGCGCGTAAACGGGTTCAGTTTCTCAAGCATCTGCCATTTTGCTTTCAGAATACTACTTGGTTTTCAAAGTCATTTCTTAGTGTATTTTCAAATTTGCAGATTTCAAAATATTAATGGACACTCTTCAAATCTTTCATTATCTTGGGTATTATGTCTATGGAACTCTGTGATGTACATTAATGTCAGATAAAATTATGCCTGATTTTTAATGAGTTATAAGTATCTCTTTTAAATGTCTAGTAAGTCAGAGATATTCATAAGGATTAAGAATGATTCACAAAATAATCTTTTTACATGATCTGATCTTTTGCCTATTGATTTTTAAATTTGTACTTGGAGGACAGTGAAATTTTATTTTACTGTTCAAATTATTGCATATCTCAGTTATATACACATTTTTGGCATCCATGGATAGAAGGGCTTAATTTTTAGGTCATCAAGAGTGATAGTGAATACACATTTAATAATCAGTGGATGGTGGACAACTGCCATTCAGCATGGTTTACGGACCACAGGAACAGCACAGCCTGATGCCATTCAAGTGTTTGGAAGGGCAAGTAGTAAGGAAGTCCTCCTGGGCCCAGGGCAGTGGCTGGTCATGAACTCCTGGCCGTTCTACCAATGAATGGCCACTCTGGAACATTGTGGAGGGTAAAACTGACTTTTAGACTGTTTTGGGCATGACAAGGGGGAAGTGGGAGGCAATAGCAAGTGCATTCATGTGGAGCTTTATGTGGTCACAGCCCCAAAGGCCTCTCCTGGATCTCTTAGAGAGCTTGAAAACATGTATGAAGTTAGGTTCATTTGTAGTTCAGTCAAAAAGACTTTGTTTTGGAAATCCTCAATGACAGATACTGTGTCATGGTGCAGAAAAAAAGAAGATAAATAAGATACGGTCCTCATCTCTCATGAGCAGAATCAAGAGGAGGTTCCATTAAACAAGGCCTCCCTAAAAAAAGATGAATTAAAATTTGAGTCTTTAGATATGCAATAAAGTGGAAAAATACATGTTCACCTGAAAGGAGTGTCATCTGAGAAAACATAACATGTTGGAGGTGGCCTGAGTTCGGGCTGTCTGTGAGTAATAACCCTCGAAGGAGGAAGTCCTCAAGGCTTCTCCTGTGTCCACTGGTCATTGTCCTGCAGGTGCCAGAGTTGCTAAAGTTTAAGCTGAGGGTGACAGGGTCAGATCTGTGTCCTAGAAAAACTGTCCCTAACAGCCTTGTATGTATACTTGGAGCTAACTGAGATTCCTGCGTGACTTCTCTTCAGTGCTCCTGTAACTCCATGCTGAGATCCTCGCAGGTCGTGTCTGACCTTGAACCTGAGTACTGATATGAGAAAAGAGAACAATGCCTCCCTACCTTCTATATCTGAGGTGCCAGCCTTTCTCCCAAATACCAACGTGGTGTGATAGTCCTGTGGTAGACATCGAAATGGTTGTTTTAGATCAAAGTAGTATTTTGTGCAACATCATCAGTTTTGAGGACTACCCCATCAAACGTTTTTACGAAAATACCCTTTAGAATACTGAGTATCCTCTGATTTCTTTGTATTTCCATGCATATCATCTTCAGAGTTCGATAAAAGATATAACAGATAAAACCCAAAATAGAATCAGAAAAGTCAATCTAAAAGATTTAAGAAATGGCCTTCTAGATGCAATCTTTCTTTTTTACAGCTGCCCCAAGACAGTGCATTGAACTTTACTTTGATGAGAAATACTCTATCGAACCGTCTTGGGAGTGCAAATTTGATCATATTGAAGTTCGAGATGGACCTTTTGGCTTTTCTCCAATAATTGGCCGTTTTTGTGGACAACAAAATCCACCCGTAATAAAATCCAGTGGAAGGTTTCTATGGATTAAATTTTTTGCTGATGGAGAGCTGGAGTCTATAGGATTTTCAGCCCGATACAATTTCACACCTGGTAAGTGGGAGCTTGGTTGTTTTTTCCCCCTCTATTTATCTATGTGTTTTTCTTTCCTAGTATTCTGTCTTCATAGTACAAAACTTTTGTAAGATATTATAATTTTCCACAGTATATTAGAATTCTATTTTAAACCAAACCTACAATGCTCTCTCTTTTCACTTTATAAATTCTGAAAGGAAAAGAGATTTCCCTCAAACTTAGCCAACCCTGGAGTTAAAGTGAAATGACTCAGAAGTCCAAATGGTCACTAATAACACAATTAATTAAATGGACTTATAAAATTTGTAATTTGAGAGGACAGTACATCATAAAGAAGATATATATATATGTATATATGTATATATATGTATATATGTATATATATTCCCAATAAACTTGAAAGGGCTATTGTAGTATTATTAAAAATTATTTATTAAAATGATTTTTGGAGAATTTGAATTTAAAAAAAGTTCACTTGTTCTAAAAATTACCATTTTCAAAGCAAATAGTTCCCATTATAAAGCAGTTTAATATCTGTTTTAGAAATGTAAAATCCTTAGGGTTTTGATGAAAAGAAAACCGAGGCCCACAGCAGCCAAATATCCACTTTCCATATCTGGCAGACATCATGGGCAATTATAAAATTATGCAGTCTCTGTCAATTTTCCCTTTAACCTGTTAATATTTAAAACAATCTCAGATGTAGACTGGCTCTCTTCATGAAGTGTTAGCATCCTTTACAATACAAGTGGGTTATCATGTTTTTAACCTGCAAGAGCTCCACACGTTCATCACTTGAGTTTGATGAAGTGTAGCTTTTTTTTTAAGTGGAAAATGATTTGAATTATGCACAACACATTATGTGTATATGATTAAAGTTTTTTTTTTCAGTTTATACATTATGTTTCAGTTAGGTTATAACGGACAAAAAAGTACTTGTGAAATTTGTTGAAATCACCATGTTACAGAGGTAACATACAAACAGTGTTTTGTTGAATAAAGAATTAAATTTTTGAAAATAATGTAAGGTGATTCATGATAACTTTCATTATGATCTCATAGTATGTTAAATCAGATGATAACTGTATCATGACTCAACCTTCAGCATTAGGATTATTTGATAATATCACTAAGGGATTGTGGTTTTAATTATGCTTTGCTGTTATCGGACCACTCATAGAAATCACAAGTGTTTCACATGCCACATTCAAATGAGCTTGAATTTTTTTCAAAAAATCATGAACATTTTTATTACTCTGTCAAATTGTTAGCCCAAGAGTTCTAAATGGAAATGTGTTTTTTTCTTAGTTGTTTATTTGGAGTTACCCTGATAGTAACTAAAGATAGTAACATGGGGCATGAAATAGCCCTTGTAAGCTGCATTTTTCATTCTGGGTTTGGTGATGATGTGGGAGCATGTGTAGGCTATAACACTGGTTTTGTAAAGGTGGGACCAGCCAACCCCTTCATCACCTTGCCACACTGTCCAGGTTGAGCTCCACTTGACAGACAGACTGCTGGCCCTCTCGATGCTGGCTCAGGTTGCCAGCAGTCATTTGGGTGCCAAGGCATTGTTCTTTGCTGGGTTTCGTTGGGGCCTTAGGCTTCATCTCTAGCAGTGGAGGGTGTTATTGCCAGGATCCTCCAGAGGTAATCCCAGGTAATTAGAGTGAGTGGAGGATGGGCCTATGCTTCTTTTTCATTTAGATAATCTGCACTAAAGTTGGTGGGGAAGGCTGGGCGTGGTAGATGGGGGATGGCAGGACCTTGCAACACGTCCATGACAGAGATGACACTGTAAGGCCCAAGGCTGTGGCCGAGTGGCTTAACCATGTCCAGATGGTTCCCTGAAGAGACAATGCAGCAGAAGCCACTTAGCTATTGACACAGGAAGTGGGCCCAGAGTAGCCATGGCTCAGACAACACTTCAGGAATGCACACTCATCAGGCTTTAGTTGTCCTTTGGCTTCGTTCTTATCTAGTGGTGAGACCTGCGGTGACTAGGGAAGCTTGAGTGGGGAGACTTGCTCAAGCCAACTTAGTGACTCAGGGTGTGAAGTAGAAGGGACATCCCCGATCACCACTGTGAGAAGCCCTGGTGTGGGAGCCACATCTGGCTTCCGGACCCGGCTTTTTTTTTTTTCATTCATGCAGTAACCTTGGACATAATCCCTAATATTTTATCCTTTGATATTTTTTAATTTTGAAATAAAGATAGTATTAATATTCCCACAGGATTGTTTGAAAGATAAGTCATTCAGTACATGTGAATGAGTTTCTTGAGTGTAAGACCTCAACCATTAGCACCTATTAATTTTTTAACTAACTCGATTTTGTGTTCTTTAAAAGGAAAGGCAGTTTGGCATAGGTTATTGAGAGGCAAGCAAGTGTCTCTTTTTTTTTTTTTTTCTAGTTAGAACCTCTTGCTCTATTTCTTGGAGAGTCAGTATGAAAACTAATATTTGCATCTTTTCACTTTTTGGTAATGTTAATGGACCTAGATATCAAGGTGGGGATTATAGTTATTTCTGATGGCATAAAATAGATCATAAAATATGTAAAGGCAGGAATAACAGCCAAAAGGCCAGGTGGTCTTTATTATTTTCATGAATTTACCACAATCTTTAATCTGAATTTCAAACATAGAATCTCAGAAAGTTGATGTCAGCACATTGAGAGAACATCTGTCTCTTAGGAATGAGTCTCATTTGCCAAGGTAAGAAAATGAACATACATATATAGTTATATTGTTATAAATATATGCATATGTACTACATATATATACATATACACATCTATATGCACACACACACACACACACTTTCAAAGTAAATTTTTAGAATCACACGCCCAATTTTTTCTGCTTGCAAAGATGTGTAGCCAGATTATAATCAGATTAAATCATGAGTGTGCAATCCAAAATTTGACACTTAGATAAATAACGAGCATACTTAAGAGCACTGTGCTAAGGTTCCTGATGCTTTACTTCCATAGCGGGGATTGATTTTTCCAATGGTGCCTTAGGTCTCAGACTCCCCGGGGTTTGTTCCTGACCCATCTCTGGCTTCCATTATGCCTGACTGGCACGTTAATTTCTGTTAACCCTTATCTCCAAATTGTTTCTGTTTTCTAAAATCTGAATCTCTGACTTCCTTTTCTACTGAACTTTAAAATAATGGTCTTTTATCCTGGATCCTGCAGTTCCTATTTTCTGTGATTCTGAATTCCCAGTGACATCTGGGCACCTGCCAACTGGAGGTCATAGAGGGTAGGATGTGGACCTAGAGGGTAGGATGGCAGAGCCAGAGAAATACCATGGGCAGTCTTAAAGAAAGCATTTTTGTTTCCCCGGACATATTTTGATGATTCTTTACTCTTTATTTCACTAACGGTTATTTTTTGATCTGAGTCTTGTCCAGGGCCACAATGCCATGATGAGTCACCTAGAATCGCAGTCTAGCACGCATAAGGATTGGGAGATTGAGGAGGCAGTCAGCTAGTTCATAGCCTGGGGTCTGCAAAGCACGTGAGAGGGCTCACTGAAGGCCCAGAGCCCTGGGGGAAGCTCACAGATGGGGACTTCTGGTTTTGTGAGGTCATCTCAGCAAACACTGTCCCAATATCAAGAAGAAGGATAAATGCAGAGTCACTGAAAGTGCCAAAAAGTTACAAGGGGGAAAATTTGATGACTCACATTTGATAATTCGATAATTCAACAAGAAAACAGAAGACCCATGAAAGTACTCCTTACCACAGACACACATTGCTCTCTCATATAGTGAGGCCTCATTTTAGAAAATTTAAATTCAATCTCTCATAAAATAGAAAACAGCTAGAAAATACCTCAAAAGTACGTGATCATACTGCAATAGTGCACATCAAGCTCACAGCAATGGTTGTCCCAGGTAGGGGATGGCAGGAGGTGAGGGAGGAGGAGGACTTTAGGGGCCCAGTGGACATACAGTAAAAATAAGCTCAGGTTTCTTGATAATAATAATGCTTGCATTTTTGAAAGAATTTTTTATTTTTGGTATTACTTGTTTTAATTAATTATCTAAGAGCAAAGTTTTTCAAAAGAGAAAGTACTATAGTTGATGATTTCAACGTGAATATTTAAAAAGGAGAATATGTTTCTCCATATTCCACATTTTCTTATTTAACCTAACAATGCATTCTGAGTAGACAATAATTTTCCCACAGCCAACTGCCTTCTTTCCTCAATTTTCTTTGCCACTAGGAAACATAATCTAAGAGGAAAACATGGCCTGTGTTCTCTCTACCTGCTGGTCCAGTGGCATCATGTGGGGGCTTTATGGTCAGCAGTAAGGTACACACCCAGGGTGCTCTCTTTGGGGACAGGGGATGGGTGGTGACCTTTCCAGCCTTTTTAGTAACAGATGTCTTTTGTTAGCCTTTTATTTTCTAATGAAGAGATTTTCTGCTATTTACAGACACGGAATGGGAAGTTTATGGAGTGGGACATTTTTGGAATCTTCCTCTTTTGATAGTACTCTTTTCTGTACTATTTTTATGAAACAAAGTTACACACATCCTACTGGTTAAATTTCACTTAAGGACTAGGGCTCAAAGTACCAAATAGTTGAGGCTGAGTCAGGCACTGGCATTGAAGTGAGTGGAGTTGTTAAATATATAGAAATTATTATGATACTTTGTACTTAAATAGCAGCTTTCATCTGAGGCACTCAAAGTCTTTTAGGGACATTCTAGCCAATTCCTAGCCTTCGCTCCTACTGCATGCCGATTGACTTCAAAGGCAATGGAAGAGTACGCTGTGGTGTGGGGATTTAAATTGAGCATTTTAAAAAGATTTCTATGCAAAGTAGAGGAAATATATTATTTAGGTAAAATGTTATCATGGATTTGATGGTTTTTTTAATTATTCAGAGCAGCTGTGTTGCTCTTTGTCACAGAGATGTGATGCCATTTTGAAAGTATCTCAATTTTCTTACCTACGCATTCAAAGTTCTGACATCCTTTCTGGTGACAAAGACAGAAAA